CTGCGGACCAAGCGGCCGCTTTTGCTCCTGTTTCAGTAAGGAAGCCGCTTAAGATTGTGTAAAGGAGGCCCCGGTCTCACTTCCTCAGAGCCGCAAGGAATGTCTGTCAGAAAGCAAGAGCTTGCTGGGGATGCGAAGCAGCATTGTCCGTAGAATTGTTGCTTTTTCCCAGCACCCACGGGTGGTTGTGTAACCCAGTAATTACAAATGAGAAACAAACTGGGATGACTACATTTGTTTTATAACGTATGACTAATTGACATGGCCTGTCAGATCCCTGAAGTACAGCAGTGTTGGGAAACATCCCTTCCCTGACGCCTCACTGCCTGAGCTACCCTGGGTTCTCCCTGTCTTGGTTGTGCACAGGTTCGTTAACCCCAGGAGTCTGAACTTGGGCAGATGCATGCCTAAAATCCACAGCAAACTCTGCTCTCCCCATCCTGTGGCCTCAACAGAGGTTATTGGGGGTGGGGGGGGGAGGAATTGGATATAAAAGACTCTTTTGGTTTTGATTTAAAATATGGTTGTGTTTTTCTTTAGTTTCAGAATTGTGTGTAGAGGGGTAAGCTGTCTGGATTTAAAATCTTTTTTTGGCTGTGAGTAGGAGTTTCCAGCAGATTGAATGGAAAATCAAATGTTTAGCCCCAATAGAAGGTGAATATTTGTGATGCCACTTGAAGAAAGCATCTGTTAGCCAAGATACTTTGATGATCAGATGTTGAAACTGAATGTTAATGGCTATGACCTCATAACAAAAATGAGGGTGGAAGGAAGGTAATATTTATATTTTTAGTAGAAAATGGAAGCTTCTGGTCTCTTTCTTCCCTAGCTGCCTGCAGGAAGCCTGCAGCTCACTCTCTACCAGTATAAAACGTGTCCTTTCTGCAGTAAAGTCCGAGCTTTTCTCGATTATCATGGACTGCCCTATGAAATTGTGGAAGTGAACCCAATAATGAGAAAAGAGATCAAATTCTCTACCTACAGAAAGGTGCCTATCCTGCTAGCCAATGCTGGAAGCCCTCTGGTAAGTCTTTCTATGTTGAGAGCTTGATTTCCCCACAAGCAGGGGTTTGGAGGCTTTGTATCTATCATGTCTCTGTGGTTTATCACATGCAATGTAATCTCTAGATCATCTTTTATTCTTTCAAGAGCCTAAGATTTCTTGCCTCGTGGTTTCTTATGCCTTGGCCTTATTACAGTTTTTTGTTGGTCTTTCTTACAAGACATGTTGTTTGTGTAGTGACTCCATAATCCAGTGATTAGCTTCTATCAGCCCTTCTGCAGGACATGTCATTTGTACCAGCAGTAACAGGAACTGCTTATATCATGTGGGAAAAGAATGAGATCTCAAGAATATTAAAGATTCAACTTGGCTTTTTTTTGTTAGTGTTGTTTTCTTCCTTCGCTGTCAAGAGCCTAAATCCAAAAGCCACTAGTATAGCATGTGAACCTGGCCCTCAGGTCCTCTGTTGTCAGAATGAAAGACAAATTTGAAGTGATACACCGAAATGATCACAGAAGAGATGAGAAAGTAGGGCTGTCTTTAGATGGAAGGGATTTGTGGAAATGCATGGCAGGGAAAAAGGGACTGCAGTACTAACTTGGAGCCTCAGCATGCAGAGGGAAAGGTTTTGAAGAATTTCCCTTTCAATTTCACCAATTTCTTTTAAAAGTTTGTTTTAATTCTGTTTTTTTCAGCAATTGAATGACTCTTCGGTGATCATCAGTGCAATAAAGACCTATCTCATTTCCAAGTAAGAAAACAGGATGATGGGAGGAGAGTTGAATGTGACTGGCCCTAACGAACTAGGGAGTTAGCAGACTCTCTCAAAGTCGGTTATAAGTATCTTGCTGACCTTGGTCTCTGAAGCTCTAGGTATTTGGCCCAGCAGCCCTGACCCTGGCTGTGATGGTGTGGATGGCACCTATATATGTTGTGATGTATCTGCAGTAAAGCAAAGCTTTACCTTTCAGAACTACTCTTTTTTCACCTGTGATATTCTCTTTGCACAAAATCCACTTAAACATGGACTAGTGTTAGTCCTGGAACTAAGCTTACATTTAGCCAGTTATAACATCTAGAATGAAATGAAATTGCTGTGCCTGTGGCCAGTCCCCTAGGTCCGTGCTACAAAGTACTTGAGAATGGCAGGTAGTTTTATGCCTGCAAAAATGTCTGTTCTGACACAGATAAAGATATGTATGCTAATAATAGTTATTTGTAAGTAGCTGGTCCAGTCTCTTTTCAAAACTGATTTCAAATAGAATTTGGTACCTTGTGCACTTATTTTTAGAATAATATGTTTTAAAGTGTGTATCTTTCAGTCTATCCTTAGCTCTTGCTCATTCTTGTAGCAGCCAGATTAGGTGCTAACGGTGTTTCTGTCCACAGGAGGAATAGCTTAGAAGAAATTGTGTCCTTTTATCCTCCTATGAAAACTGTGACAGAGCAAGGCAAGGAGGTATTTGAATATGGGAATAAATACTGGCTCATGCTGGATGAGAAGGAGACAAAGCGAGTCTATCCTGTCAAAGAAGTGAGAGTGTAAGTACTCTTAAGTTTCTGTGCTCTCCAAGTAGGGTCACAGCCTCCTCCAGATGTGCTCAGGGATGGTGTAGATAGAAAATCCCGCTGGTGCTGGTAAATCCTGTGAAACCCCCTTTAGTGTTTAAAACCTCAGTAGTTAAGAGTGGTTTTGCTGTGTTTCTTACATAAATTGAAACAATGCCGTTGGATGGCCTAGCTGCCATCATCGTGGTCATGTTAACCTTTGGTTGCCTCCAGTTTCCTTCTTGGACTTTCCTTTATGTCACAGGGGAATGTTAGGGAGTGCTAGTTTCCCTTTCTGCTTTAGTTTTTGTATTGGGAGGAGAAGCTAGTGCTCTATCTTAGTCTTAATTTTAGTTTGAGATTGGAGGAGCCTTGCCAAGGATAATGATTCTGAGTGCATTTCAGAGAGGTCACCAGAACACAAGGCTGGGCAGGAGTTTTTGACACATGCGTCCTTGGCGGAATCTCTGGCTAATGCCACTGTGATTCTGCCTGCCTCCTGTAGCCCTGCACTCTGTACCTCATTCACTGAAAAGTCTCTTTTGAATGCTTGCAGGGAAGAAATGAAGTGGAGAAAATGGGCAGATGATTGGCTTGTTCACCTCATCTCCCCCAACGTTTACCGTACCCCCAGAGAAGCCTTGGCATCTTTTGATTACATCGTCCGTGAGGGGAAGTTTGGCACCGTGGAAGGTTTCTTTGCCAAGTACTTGGGGGCTGTTGCCATGTTCTTCATTAGCAAGAGGCTGAAGAAAAGGTTGGTACCACTGAGCACCAAGTACATAGGAGGAATAGTTCTTTAACTTCCTTAGCTGCAAAACCCAGATGTCAAAGGGCAGAGCCTCAGAGTTTTGAACCAAACCTTTTAATCCAATGTAAGTAACAGCTGTACTTTAACTGGAGGTACTGAACACCTCTACTCATCTACTATTTAATCACTAGCTGCTCCCCTCACTCTCAAATACCTTCCTAATTCCCAGGCAAAGACCGGCCCATAAGATGAGAGGTGAAAAAAAGGTTAATGAAAGGAACAAACCAGTGCCTTCAAACTAGTTCTTTTCTTTATCCAGACATCACCTTCAAGATAATGTCCGAGAAGATTTGTATGAAGCAGTTAACGAGTGGGTAAAAGCTGTTGGCAAACATCGACTGTTCATGGGTGGAAACCAGCCGAACCTTGCTGACTTGGTAAGGGGTTAATTCCTGTATCTATAGTTAGGAAGGTTGTGAATCACCCTGTTGCTCGTCTTTGTGAAATGGTTAATGCAAATATAGGCAGAGAAGGTGAGTTACATGAGATACATTGTCAATGTCCTTTGTGCAATAATACAACTCTCACATGAAGGGGACTTAGAAATATTTGTGTTAGGATGGTATTTGTTGGTTTCCTCCAGAGAAATGTTTCCTAAGGTGGAACCTGCAGTTCCCATCTGCAGGTGGATGTTACTGATCCTGTGGAAGCATGATAAAAGCAGGTTAGGAGTCAGGACACTGCTCTGGCTCATGAATGCTGGTCAATAAAGCCTCACGCTTGCACAGGTTTTACGACCTTCAGAGCTGCAGGGGTTTCCTTTGCAGGCAGCAGGGCAGAATGGAGCAGGATTCATCCCCTGCACCAGCAGTTGTCCTTTCACACCAGGGCTTGATGCAGAGATGGGACTAACTTTTGTCCCGGAACTGCATGTAGATCCTGATCTTTCCTTACTGTTTTGTCATGGAAAACCATGCACGTTCTTAACTACCTTTCTGCCATTCGGTCTTCCTTGCTAATCAGAGTGGTGGAGTAGATGGCAGGACAGGGGAAGAGCCATACTATAGCCTTAGGCTACTGAAGCACTTACTGGTACCCTCAGCTGTTCTCCACCACTGACTCAGTGTTGTTCTAATCTTTATCCTCTGGCACAGGCAGTGTACGGAGTCCTCCGAGTCATGGAAGGACTGGAAGCTTTTGACGACATGATGGTTCACACCAAGATTCAGCCTTGGTACCAACGCATGGAAGAAGTCATTCAAAAAGCTGAAGTTGCAATCTGATGCCAGCTGCAGCTGCCTTGCTGAAGTACTTGCATGGTAAAAAAAACTTCAGAAGGAATGGCATTTATTTTTAAAGAGTTGAATGGACTGGTCACACCTAGTGGACTGACACGCGGCACAGACTGTCCCGTTTAGAGTATTGAGTGTCGGTGAGCAGAAGGGATCCAGCTGGTGTATGTTTGAACGCGATATTTAGAAGGATAGGTAAAAGGAGGGGATCTTGGATGCTGCTGGGAAGGAGGATCTCTGAACTGAAGAATGCAGTAAATGGGCTGCTATTAGGTGAGAGCCATTCTCCGAGCAGGTTACTGTAAAAGCAAGCCGCTCTTGGCTAGCGAGTGTTACAGCCCTATCAGATAGGGTAGGTCTGAGCAGCTTTTGCTTCAGGCTGTCTTCCACTACTCATCCATGTCATCTGAAGTGTTTTCCTCACCGAGACGCTGGATGCTAGTTTTTAAGTGACAATTTTTCCTGCAGTAGAATCCTGTAAGCCCAGTGCTGAGGGAACTGGAGGAATCCACGGTACTGGGAAAGGTGTCCTTCCTACGACAGAAACGGCAGATTGTATGCTTTTACTCTTCCATGTAAATGGTTCTTTCAGTACTTGATTCTGTACGGTCTGCAAGGATAAAGGCTTGTTTCTTCCTGTGCCGTTTGTGAAATCTGTGAGTTCTTACCTTACCTGTTATGCCCAGAAAGCACACCCTACGCAGAAATCACTAGTGCTGAGCAGTTATTTGAAAGATGTATCTTGCATGAGATCTCTCTGGAATATCCCTGAAAATCAGTTTGTTCTTGTTTTGGGAAGAGAAGGATTAAGAGCGATCTGCATGCCTGGGTGATATCTGGATGTTTCTGCCATGCAAGGCTAACGAAGGATTTGCTGTTGCAGCAATTGGATTGGTAACGTTGTGCAATATGAAGCCTGCTGTGCTGGGTAGAACCTGATGTTTGTTGTAGTGAGAGACGATGCAGGTTTGGATGGGAGTGATCCTCTGTGCGGCCCAAGGCTTAATTGTCGCCTTGAAAAAGTCCTGTTTCCCCAGAAGAAAGGGCATGTCTTAGGGAAGCTGATTAGTGAGGTATTTCAGGTGCAGCTGACGTTGGTCTGTCATACCGCTGCTTGCGCTGCGTGGGTGCTGTTGGGGGGAAGGTGAGGCGTTACACCCACCTTTACTGGGCAGAACAGCAGAGGTGACAGACGCGGCCTGGGGTCCCGGCGTTCCCGCGGATCGCGGCGCCGGGCCCGGCC